TAAGGAAACAAAAAAAAATCATCATCATCATCATCATTATCATCATCATCATCATCATCATCATCGTTATTGTTGTTTGTTCTAAGCACAATAACAAAACAAAACACTGGTAGAGACTTGTTAAATATTTTAATATATAATACATATGTGAGGCAGCGTGGTGGATTCAGGCTCTCGTCAATTTTTGGGCATGTAGAGTTATTGGTATCATCTTAAAGCGTGTTCACCTGCCTTTATTTGGATGAAAAAATATCCATTTATCTTGAATACAAGTCGAGATATATTTGCGAATGAAGGACGTGGGGGCCACCTGTTCTCAGATGTAAACTTAGTGAAAAAATGGCCTCAAAAGATTAGCTAATTCCTTTGTATAAGAGTCCGTGGTTACTGAAAATTTACATTTTTTGGGGCTTTTAATCAACGTTTTTCTGCAAAATCCATACAGAAATAAGTTCTTTAATAGGCATGAAAGATGATGAACCAGAAGACAAAAATCTGATAAAAATTCACAAACCTGCGTAACAATGCAAGTTTCTTCTTTTTGATTATTTTGACGAGAGCCTGATTCCACCACGCTGCCTCACATATAACACAACAAAACAAGATCTAAGTTCAACGTTTGGCCCAGTGGCTTCGCCGCGAACGTGGTCAAAAAATTAATAACACTACTATGGAAACAAAGTATACGTGCACTTACAGTACAGTACGATTTGCAATGGTACGTACGCGCCAGAAAAGTATACCAGAAAGGTTCCCAAAAAGGGAAAACAGTATGGTTAGTAAGTAGCGTATATATACATAATATACCCATGTTTCGTCATGTCATTATTCTATCATCATCATCATTGCCTTTTTCACCCTGGGTCAGGATATAAGCCACGAACAAACACTTAAGGCACGTTTGTTCGTGTTTCTAGAACTTTCCTTTTTTACTGGGTCGGGTAGTTGGCCCTACGCAAACTGTCACTTTTCGGGTGACCAGACCTGTGCACCTTTAGTCGCCTCTTACGACACGCAGTATCACGGCAGGTGTATTCTTTACTTTCCCATAGTAAAACTAACCCCCCCCCCCACCTGCAGGGGCACATTATTCTATAGTGCGGTCGAAAATTCTTGGCGTAACTTATTCTCAAAGTTACCTCTATCTGGAGAGGAGAAAACAAGGAAATCCTGAGAGGTTGCTTTGAATGTACGAACTGGAATGATTTGAAAGATTCATGTAAAAGTATTGATGAATTATGTTAGACTATCGCTGGTTACATCAGGTTTTGTGAAGATCTACTTTCATTAAAAAATAAAAAAAATAAGTTGTCTACTACCGAAAAAACAAGCCATGGGTTAGCAAGGAGTTGAAGAAAATATTAAATGAGAAGAAGAAGGCATTCAAACTGAAAGACCGAGACAAATTAAAAACAACAAATAATATGTTAAAGAAAAAATAAGAGAGTGTAGGCATTTTAACAAAGAAAAGTTAGAACAACATTTCACTTCTTACAACCCAAAACTGTTTAAAACCTAGATGTGTAGTTGGAGACACACCAAGACGAACAGACACAGCGGCAGATATGTGGTGTCGGTGGCCTAGTGGTTTGGCTACCGGACTCGTAATCGTGAGGTTGTGGTGTCGGTGGCTTAGTGGTTTGGCTACCGGACTCGTAATCGTGAGATTGTGGTGTCGGTGGCCTAGTGGTTAGGTT